TAGAACTTCTTAAATTTTTTAAATGTTGACTAAATGTACTAGCTTCTTTAAAACTAAAACTTTGAAATGTATTAATATAAAGGTCAAAAGTGTTTTGATATTCAAAAAGTAAATAGGAACTTGTAAGAATAGGATATATTTTTGAACTATGGCTAGAGCAATTTCTCTAGAATTGAAAGTATTAGATTAATAATAACAACTAAAAATAATATTTTAAATATGAAAGTGAAGTGTGATTCAATTAGGATGGTTAGTAAGAAGAGCAAAGTTTTTCTGAGTTTTAGAAGTATAATACTTAGCATGGAAATTGGTCCTATATCAAGTCTAAAATTTTTTAAAAAGTAAGTAAGGACTAATGTGTATAGGATAATAATACTGAAAACAAGATAAGTTTGGGTTAGTTGCTTGGAACATGTTTACAACAAGATGAGTTTTATTTAAATAGTTATTTTGGTAACTTTGTATATTTTTGTTGTGAAGTTCAGTAGCAGTATAAACTATAAAAGAAAATTTCTTACTTGGCTAAAAGAGTAATTAAAAAAATGTGTTCTAACCTTAGAACAATGCAGCAGCTATCTTCTGAGACTAGTTATATTTAGTAAAAATTAATAAACAGCTATCTTCTAAGACAGGTTATGTTTAATAAAAAATTGTATAACAGCTATCTTTCAAGATAAATATGTTTTGTAAAAATTATTCAGTAGCTAGAAATCGAACTGGCTTTTATTTTTGCTTTCTATCAGAAGGCATCAAATATTACAGTAGAGAGGCCTTCTTAACTTCTTATTATAACAATAACGTAGCTATAGAGATCTTTTACAAATTTATAGTAGTGTTCAAGAGGGAAGTATAGTTTTTTTAACTATTTAGCAACTATACTCTTCTTTGGGCAGTTTAGTTAAGACAATACACAGATTATAACTTTATTAACTTAAGAGTAATAGATCTTTCTTATAGAAATTATTCTAGAAGAGAAATATTAATATAGTTTATAGGTAAAGATAATAACTTTATTAAAAATATAAGACTATCCATTAGGTTTCTATTCCTAAGAAATTCTTTTACACTTTACAAAAGTTACTAAACTAATAGGTAAAAGAAGATAAGTGTTTGTGATTTGCTTGACTTGAGAAAATTCTTGAGATTTATATATTTGTTAACAATCATTAAAGCTAAGCATTAAAGCTTAATAATTATTAGAGCAAAGTGTTAGGCATCAGGTATCAAGTATCAAGTATCAAGCATTAAACATTAGACATTAAGTGTTAAGTATCAATTATCAAACATCAAATGTTAAGTGTCAAGCATCACATATCAAGTATTAAATGCTGTAATCGATTTGTTCTATCTAATATAACTAATAAATAATAATAATACTAATAGCTAATACTAATAATAATAATAATAATGCTAACAATTAATAATAATAAAATATATATTTATGAAACTAAATTAAAATATAATAATAAAATTTATCCTATAACAATATAACTAGTTATATATACAATTATTGGTTACTTATTTAAATAATCTGTTTAAAGGTTTTATATTAGTTATTGTATATATTTACTAGATGATTACTTATTTAAACTCTTTAGTTTAATTTTTTTTTTTAAACATTAAAGTCCCTGCCTTTGGGGATTGATTTTTTTATTCAAGTATTTAGACACAGATGCCTTCAGAAGCTTCCATATATAGGAGATTACAACTAGTTACATGTGCACTTTTAGTGCCTAATTTAAATAGTCTGCCTATACATTACTATACAGGTTCTACACTAAGTGCCATACCTGCAAACCAACTACAGGTCTTGTTTATTTAAACCTTTTGCATATATAATCTGACTTGTAATCACAGGAACATCTTTTGGACTACATTTATCCAAAGTACCTGATGCTTTTAAAACTCTTAGGACTAGTTTATTTTTAATAAGAAATTTACTAGAACTTTTTATATCTTACATATAGCTGATCTAGTTTTATGCAACACACTATAGTTATCTAACACTTGCAGTCACAGAGGTTACCTGTTTAACTACTACATAACACTATTTCTATCTTTGTAAAGTTTACTAGAATTCCAGTACCTATTATTATGATGTTTTTTTCATTATTCTTTACTAACCACTACTAAGAACTGACAGGACTCCTTCAACTTTCAATTCAGATAGCCTGGTATAATATACTTATGTATTCTTTTTCTTTAGTGATTCTAGTAGCCTGGTTGGTCATGTGCTCCTCTATACATCTTGACATCTAGTTTATCTACATATCTTTTTGAAGGTATTTTATAGGCTTCTATTGGTCTGACTGTACCATCAAAAGTTCATGCTATCTTTTTACTCAGAAATTTCTAAGTAGGCTTTCAACTTTTAGTTTTTTAGTTTATTGCACCTGGTGGTCTTATTGTGGGTTTGCACTAAAGTCTTATATGATACCAGTTATTAACATTCCTCTATGTACATATAACATTACATATAATATAAATGCTTTGAGCTCCTATGTAAGATGGTGTAACTTAAAGTTACAGATACACAAATTTAACTAATCATCAAGAAACAGTTTGCTGTAATATTGATTAATTTTCAAATTTCATCGTAGATGGGATTTAAACCTTAGACCTGTCACTTGGAAGATAACAACCCAACTACTATACTAGGATTACTATCTAACTCTTTGGTTTATATGTTTTAAACATCTAAGTATTATTTAACTCAATATTTAGTTTTTCTTCTTATATATTTATCAAGTTGTTATTGTTTTAAAATATATAATTTAATTGCAAAACTGAGTATTATTTTGTTAATTAATTTGTTTTTTTTTGATATTAAGATAAGGTCTTGCTTATATCTTTATTAATAATTTAAAAAGTTAGATTTATATATACTATAATCAGAATTAATATTTGTAGTTAAGGCTAGCTATTAAACTACTAATTATATAGTTATTACTATTTATACAAAACAAATAAATTAAAAATTATATATAAAAATAAAAACCCAGACTAATTTATCTGTAACTTAAATCTACTAGAGTGGTCAAAACTCATCTAAATTTAAATATTATATTAAAATAACTATATAATTGATCAAGAAGTTTACAAAGATATAAATAAGTATAGTTTCTTTAAGAATATATACACTTAATAGTTAGATTAGATAATATTAAGAGTTTGTTATAGTGATCTAAACTGGATTAAACTGGTTAACTAATAATTATATCTATTGAAAAAAGTCTATAACTAGTTAATCTCAATTAAAACTCATAATTAACTAATGAAACTCTATGAAAAATATAAACTTTTTGTATATATTATATATCAAATTTGAAAAGATATAGAGCTAAAATTAAGCTATATTAAAATAAAATTTAATTCTGAGATTTACTAATTAAAAATATTATTTACTTGATATGTATAATCTAGTGATCCAAACTGGATTAAACCAGTTAACTAATAATTAAACTTGTTAAAAAAATCTATAACTAGTTAACTCTAATTAAAACTTACAGTTAGCTAGTAAAATTATAGATTTATTGTATAGAATAGGCTGTTGATTCTATAACACATAATTTTATAATCTGAAATTATTTATAATAGGATTGATGACCTAGTTTAGAAATATGATCAAATAGTCACATGTCTAGAATCTGGAAAAATTTTTTTATATCTTGGTGCTTTCATATATGTTATATATCAAATTTGAAGGAATTTAGATTTCAACAAATTTTATATACTATACTGGGAATTAAAAATCTAAAATAAATACAAATCTGTAATTGGTTAGAAATAATTTTTAGCCAATCTTATATTTACATTTATTTTTGATTTCTGATCCCCAGTGTAGTACATGGAATTTTTAGTTACAGTAATTTGAAAAGCTGTAAAATTAAATTTATTATTGGTGCAAAAGCAAAAGCATGCTTTAGCAAAATTTCAGAAGAAATAAAAGATCAATTTTGCATAACAATAACATTTAGCTATTTGATTTTGTAATTGTTTTGCTCCAAGTTTGTAAGCCTATTCTTTAAATAATTGATATTTTTTTATTAAATTTTTTACTAGACTGATAAAATAATAATCATTAAAGATTGAAATAAAAAACTGAAAAACTTTAGTAAAAGAAAATTTAATGATCACTTAAATTTTTGATCAGGTAATTAAACTATCACTAAAGTGTTAAAAATTTGTTATTTTGATATATTATTAATATGCATAGTTAGAAATTTCTGTTCTTTATATATAAATTATTAATTAATAATTTAATACTACTTCCAGTTATTATTTTTAAGTTTTGATTAAAAAAAAAGTCTTATAAAAAAACAAATTATATCACTCAAAATTTTATATACTGAGTAAAACTTATACTAATTCCAAATATATATATATATTATTTATTGATAATTTCAAATTAGTAGAAATTAATAAATAGCATATGATATAATAGTATATATCTTAATATATAATAAAAAATTCTTTTTAATGCTAATCAAATGCTCTTTGTGCATGATTCTTTTTAATACTAATAAAATTTTCTTGAACATAAATTTTTTTTTAAGCTTCTTACAATTATTTTTAACATGATTAAAATTTTTTGCATGCAATTCTTTCTAACCTTTTGCTCATATTTACTTTTTATAATAAAATAAATCTATAATAAGAACTCCTGCATATATTTGTAAAATATATATAAGAATAATATTAACTGATTTAATTATTGTTAAAAAACAAAGAATTTGCAACTTTAATATTTCTTTTTAAAAAACTATTGTTTCAAAAAGCTTAGAACTCAAGCAAGTTCTTTTATTAGTTATTATATTTCTAGCATTCGAAAACAATTGTTTACTAGAAATAGATGTTGCAACAATTTCAAGATATTTTCTAGCTAATTGACTAAGAACTAGAAATGAATTCTTTTGTTTTTTCTACCAAACTAAGAGATATTGGTTACTTGAAATTGAATTAAGCACCAAATAGCTTTCAACTTCATTTGTCTCTACTCTTTATAAATTAGAGCCATATATTACATAAAGTAGTTTATTTTTCTTATTTTTTTTTAAATTATTTTGTATATTAGCTTCAAATTCATTAGATTTTAAAAGCTTATATTTTGTATTTAAAAGACTTTTAGCTTTAAGCTGGTCAATAGCTGTTGCTTTATTTATTTTCTTATTGCATGAGTTTAATATTGTTGCTAATAAGGCCTCATTCATAGATAGTTTCTAATAATAATTCAAATTTTTTAAAAAAGCAATTTTAATTTTATTAAGAACCCTGTTAGTAACTTGAGGGTTATTAATTTTTAAATTTTTTTTATTTGTTTCCTCTTCTGCTATAACTTGATTATAATCTTCATCATTATCTTGTAAATCTAAATCATTATCAAAAGTATTAAATAAGTATACATAGTCTATTACTTCATCTTTAATGATATTTGTATTTAAATTTTGCTTAATTGTCATAATCACTGTATATATAAAAGATATTGTAGAATACTGACTACCATCTAATAAATTTGTTATATTATAAAATTGTTTAAAAACTTTAGTAAGATTAGTTAATAAAAGCCATTTATCTTTAGTTAAAACAATATGTTTTAATTGACAGTAATCTTTTTTGCTTTATTGATCTAATTTATTAGCTAAATTAATTATCATAATAGCAATAGCATGTTTAAGCTTCAGAAGACATGTTCAAGCCAGGTAGGAAGAGTTCCATCTAGTAGATATATCAGCAATTGTGTGCAAGTATTCATAATTATTAATTAATATATCATTTGTTTAAACTTTCAGATAATGTTGTGCTTCAACAAGATGTTCTGATTGCTTTAGGCTTATAAAAAAATAGATTAGCCTTTTAGCTCATGCAATTAAAACTTTAACAGTATTAAAACCTTTCTCAACAATCAATTGTAAAGTATGTGATATACAAAGTAAACAATTTATACTATCTATATATTTAACCACTTTAACTATATTAATGCTATTGTCAGTAGTTATAATAAAAACCTTATTAGTTAGACTCCATTCTTTAATTATTTCTTGTAAAGTAGTTGCAATTAATAGTTCTATATATGGATAATTGAGTTCTCTTATACTAAGTATAACTTCTTTTATTTTAAAATTTGAAGTAATTCATGAACATGTAACCTTAAAATAACTAATATTATTTTGAGCAATCCACATATTAGCAGTTAAATTAACAAAAATAACACTATTAGACAACAATAATTTAATATAATTTTGTATTCAATTAAATCCTTGATAAATAAATTCTTTTAATTTTATATCAGAAGGAAGTTTGTAATAAGGGTCAAGTGCTTTAATAAAATCAATAAATGATTCTTTAGAAATTATAAAAAGAGGTTGGTTATCTAAAATAATAAATTTAGTTAGAGCTTAATCAATAGTTGCTTTTCTTTTAATATTGTTATGTGATGCTAATTGAAAAGAATCATTAATACTCATTTGGCTTGAATTATAAGATATTGGTCCACTTTTTGTTAAACTGTGCATACTCAAAAAATGATATTTCATATTGCTTGTAGAACCCTCTGTATCAATCATATATTCATACTTTTTTCTATTTTTTATTGCTTTATATTTTTTATATGCAGTTTTATCTGATGAAGATAATAGTCTATCAAAATAGTTCCAAACCCAACTTCTAACTTGTGATCTACCTTTTTTTCTCTTAGATAAGTTACATTGCATAATACTAAATTTTTTAGTAAGAGTAGAAGTAGATGTTTTTGTTTCTGACTAAAAACTGTCTACATTATGCTTTTGTTTTTTGAAGTTACTTTTTTTATTTGCACAGTATTGGTAACTTGTTCCTTTTCTATCTTCTGTCATTCCAGATCATTGTTTTCAAGATTTACCACATTGTCATAATTCATTTCATTCATATTATCTATTTTATTTATATAATCTATTTAATTTACAAAACCTACTTCATTCTCAAAGCTATTATTAGTAATGTTTAAGTCCATTTCACTTAAAAGCTTCTTCATTTAAATTACAAAATTTTTTAATATTTATTAAAATTCTAAAATGCTTATAAGTGAATTAAAAGTATGATTATTATTGTGAAACTAGATGGTTTTATGAATTTATATTGGCAGAAGTATTAAATATAAGGTATTCTACTAAATTATTTTTGTTACTGCTTTTATATTTTTTTTCTTCTAATTATGCTACTTTTAGGTCTAACTATGTTTCTTCTTACAATTTCCTTCATATTGATTGTTCCAAGTTGCAATAAATAAGTTTCTCTTCTACTTGTTTATTTTTAGATATTATCATTCTTACTAATAATACTTTTTCTTCTTTTTTTAATATAAACCTATTATGCTATTATTTTAATTCTGCCATTTTAAAATATAAACATTATGAGCATATTACCTTTTTGATTTGGTCATATTCTGCTAATTGCTTAATTGTTGCAATATTGGAGTAGGCAATTATATATGTTTTATCCAATTTGGATTAATCACAATTACATATATCGATCATACAATGTTAGATTATAGTCTTATAATCACAGTTCATGACAACTTTTAATTTATTAATTTGGCTTTTTTGTATATATAATGTATAGGCTAATTGGTTTCATTAGACTCTGAATAGAGTCACTAAATTTAATCTAAACCTCTTATTTGATTTGTTGTTATTAGTTTGATAAATGATTAGGATAATTGTTGAGGACTCTATTCTGCACTATTTTACAAGAATTTAATAATATATATCAAACTATTAGACACACTTAAAACCTATTAAGATTATTGTCTAATCTATTAAATTAGACTTCCTGAAACATGTTATTTGTATTATTATCATTAAATCTTTCATATAGCTCAAAAATAGTATAGTTATTTTCAATAAGTTCAAAAATTTTTAGGATACAACAGTCTAGCTCATATGCATGTTCTGAATTAATCCATATAGTTATTATAATATTGCAGATATTTCTGGTTGATATTATAATTACATACAATCTAATATTAGTAGTTGATAATTTTTTAATCAACTAAAATTGACTATATAGTTAATTTTATATCTTATCAAAATTTGACATTTTTTTTTTTTAATATTGTATATTAAAATCTTAAACTAAAATAATATTACAATAAAACTAGAAACTGTTGTTCATAGTAATAGTTAGTTTTATCATCACCTATTTATCTAATTTTATGTACAATATAATTAAAGCACAATAGTTCTTTACTAAATTCAGATAATTATATATTAAGCTATTTAGTGTTTAGCAATGAGTATTTAAATTAGAACTATAAGGATGTTTAAACAATATAAAGTAATAATTTTAATTATTGTTAAGTGGATTAATAGTAGGTAGGTTTTTATTAGTAATCTAGCCAGTTTATAGAAAAGTTTTGAAGATTCACTTACATTTGATCTCACAATGCACTTATAACAGCATAATTTAGTATTACACAAACAACTACAAGATGAAGCACAAGCAATGATCAATATTCAGTAATTAGTTATAACTTATTTTATTATTAGAGAGAAAGATTAGTTTTTATTACTAACCTTTTACTTCTATATATACTAATTTGTAATGTATTAGACTCAAATTAGTTATATACAACAATAAACTACTAATTTATAATATATAAACTATAATGACTATTTATAATAAAATTACTGATCTGACCAATATATATTTATTACCTGAACTATCATAGAATATTACATGTTTATATAATGTTGTGAGTCAAGTTCATGATCGATACCTAAGTCTTTGAAGCCAAACATATTATGAAAGTAATATATAGAGTATTGTTTAATAGCATAATAATTATTGAAAAGAAAGTTTAATAAAATAAAATTGTAATTATACAATACTAGTAAAATCTGTTAAGTATATACAGTATTTGTATGTAGTTTGTTTAATAGTTAACTGTAGTATGACTGGTTAACCATAATATATCCAGTTAACCATTAAGATAACTGGTTTATTAGTTGGCTTAACTGTAACCTAAGTAGTTCAATAGTTAATCTAGTTATAAATTAAATAGTTCATATTACTAGTTTGTTAATAGTTTGAAATTAAGATCTATTTTGTTATTTTTTCTAGTTAAAGAAATAAATGCAATATGTTTTTTATAATTGCTTATATGATTGTTTATTAATATTAAAAAGAATATCAATAATAACTAAAGAAGCAATTTTGTATAAAATATTAGAGTTTTGAATTATCAATATAAATGACTTTGAGATAAGTCTTTTAAAAATAAAGTTAGAATAAAATATGTTAGACAGTATATATAGAAGATTAAAAGCTAAGTGATGAAGAATTTTATTACTTAGATTATATTTTTGGTAAGTATTAAGATCAAATAAGTTGTTAAAAATAATTTGATTAGTAAAGGTTTGAATAATTTAATTAAGCAAAGTTAGCTTAGTACAAGTGTGCCAATAGGAATAAGAGTTAGATAAGTTGCAATAAAAGCAGATAGTATCTAGATATTAGTTTAAGTAAATAGTATAAAATAGTAAATAAGTTGGCAACTTATTGGGAAAAATTTTGATTTTAAATGATTTTAGTTAGTTAAGTCTAAAATTAGTAATATTGTATAAAAGTTTTTGGTATAATTAAAGTAAAGCCAAGTAGATCTTTAATTAATATTTTGATTAAAGTATAACTATTTATTATTGCATTTTTGTAATGCCTATATAGCTAAAATATAAGCTTTACAAATTTGTTTAATAAAGTATCTTGTAGAAAGTTCTATATAATGTTGTTCTTATTAAAGAATATAATAAAGGTTATAAAAGTTTGTATAATTAAATAGAAAAAATAATGATAATAGATGTTGTTTAGCTAGTGAGTTTGTTTTTTTTTTTTTTTTTTGAATTTTCTACTGCTTGGTTGCTAGTGGGCTGCAGCTGATGGCTGTTTTATTAGTTTATGTTTCAAGTTTATGGGACCTTTTATTAGGACCCTGTCTACATTTTTTTTACATTGTTTGTGTACATTTATAGTACTATCTATATACTAATTTTTGTGTTTCTATTACCTCGGAATTTCACTGAGATTATTCCTAATCAGGGATTCCTTTGTTCTATTATTATCCTCAGCTCTCTAATCATTGCGGCCTTCTTATGTCAGATCTGTTGCCATTTAAGGATCTGGGTACCGAAGATCTTCCTATTTTCATAATATGCTATCTGGTATGGTTAATCTGTAATCGTAGTTCTAACACAGTTTATGTCCCCTGTTGGACTTGAACCAGCAACCTTGCGATTAGTGACCTAGGAGCATAACCACTTTGCTATCGACCCACAGGTCATGAGTTTGTTTTTCATTAAGAAGATTATTTAAATAAGTCTGTATTTTGTAAAAAATATATTGTAGTTTGTATAATTTAATAATGTTTAAAAAAATGTACTAAATAGATTACAATTAAGTTTAAATAATTTGTTAGAATAAGTTAAAT